TTACACAAATACCTTTTATCTTACTCTGAGTAGAGAAGGAACCTACAATGGCACTGCTTACCTGTCACAGCATAAAGTAATTTTGTCAAGGTCAGAGTAAGAGCACTGTAAGAGACTGCATCCCTTCAAGGGCTAAAGAATGGATTTGCACCAAAAGGCAGAGATATTGTTTCTGTACAATAATTTGTGGACAGATCAGCCTAAAGCACTCAGGAAGTTGCATCTTTGGGCTTGTCATCTTGCACAGTAACTGCATTTTCCTTCAGCCAGCCCCCACAGACTCACACTGTGCTCAAGTAAACTGTATTTACGAGCATCACCTTCTGAGTCTCACTCTCCCAGAGTGGCAGATGGGTCAGGGAAATTCCCTTTCCTCTTTTAAAACCCTGCAGAGGGCTTGAGGGACTGATGGTGGAACTGATGCCCAGCTCAGTGCAGCCAAGCACACCCCAAGCCTAAGTGAGAAATATTTATTTTTCCCACACACTTTGCTACAATGGGATGTATGATGCAATGCAACATTAGGGCTAGAGTGATTCAAAGGAAATGCTGGAAAAGTAAGGCTGAAAACCAGCTTTCTTTTGAAATAACTTTAGTGGCTCTGCATCTTCTTAACAGAAACAACATCGCAAGTGATTCACTTCCTACCAGAGCATTTATTCATACTTTTTTTCCTGGGAAATTTATGAGAATATAAAAATGCTAGAAATTTATGAGAATATAAGAATGCTGGACTGATCTGGATCAATTAAATTCCTTTCAGTACAATAAAATTGTATTAATCAACAATGCCTTATTGTTTTATTGTGAATAATAATGTGACAGTATGGGTTTTTGGTTTTTTTTTTGACAGCTAATATGTCTGAGATCTCTAAAAGTTCCAAGTGGAATGATTTATCTTTAAACATAAAATATGGTATGTAATCTTCCCTGCCCTTCTCCCTCTTAATAAAAATGCACAGGAGGATGCTTCTCAAAAACTGGGATGCATTTCTGTTTTTCTTCCTGTGAAACAATTGTCTCGTTTCTACAGATAAGGACTAGCATTCATAGTCAACTGTTTTATACATGGAAAACTGAGATGGAATTATGATTGAGAAGAGAGTGGAGCTGTTAGCTCACCAATATTCTTTCTGTAATTATTTCTTTTATTACCTGTACATCTCAAGCAAAGTATTGAAAAAAAAAATAAATCAGAGAATCTTGAAGTGCCTGGAGCAAGAAGTAGGAAATACACTGATCACACTGCCACTCATCATATCTCAGTCCTGATTCTGGTGACAGTATTTGCTTTTCCCAGCAGATGTTTACGTATGTTTGCATCTGCTTTGCTCTCCTCTTGGTCAGCTCACTTGGAAGGACACATCAGCCAGGGGGACTCTGAAAACGCTGAGGTGCTGCCGGTGCCCCAGTGACTTCACACACACACACACACGTATGTAAGACATGAAACACAAAAAACTCATGCACCAACCCATCAACAGCAGGCTGCAATTTCCCTCAGCCACTCGGTTTAAAGTAGTTTTTAATACTCAGTTTAAAATACTCCTGGAAGCCTTTAGAAAAGTCTCCTTTGTGAGACAGGGAGACTTTTTTGGTTAAATACCTCTGCATCAGTGGGCTGCCACCCGTGGCATCTCCACCTCCACAAGCAAAATCAGCTTTACCAGCATTCGTCTTGGGAAGGACAAATAAGGAGCAGCTGGCTCTCCCTGTGTTCAGAGAACCCCTGGAGCCCCAGCAGGTCACTGTAATTCTCTTTCCAGTGGCACTGAGGGCACGCTGAGACACAACAGATTCCCAGAGCACAGTACCTGGTCCCCGGCGGGAATCGACTCCCACCTGCGCTTCAGCAAGTACAGAGATTTCCGGCTCATCGTCCTCAATCTGCTCTAGAGGCTTTGCCAGACTCGACAAAAAAGGCTTCTGTCCCAAACCAGCGGCGAGAACCTTAATTCTGACTCCTGCTCTTCATGGTAGGCGGCAGAGCTCCCCGAAGCAGGCGAGTTTTTGTGAGGCTGGTCAGAGCCCAGCTTCTGCTGCTCCTTCCTCTAAAGCATCTGCGTCCTTGCAGAGGCACAGCAAGAGCAGCTCGGCTTCCAGCCACGAGCCACCTCGCAGGAAGGAGCCTGGAGTAGGTAGACAACACCAGACGCGCTCAATCTGGAAATAGCTGTTGCTTAGGAACTGCAGGGGTAAAAACGCAGCACCTCGGATGTATAATCGAGAGCTTTTGTGGTTAAAGAGAATTAAAAAGGCTGGACCCGTGCTTCTCCCTCCATCACCGTGCTTCTACAGAGCTGGGCTGCTGGATTTCACTGGCTCTGGGGCTACGCCTACGTCTCCAGCAAGCCAAACAAGTCTTGATGACAGAGCAACAAATGCCTCCCACACAGAACGCGTGCACAGAGTGTGCCCGGGGTCCCACCTGAAAGACCCCGGCACTGCCAACTACTGTGTCCTAGCAGAACAACTAAAAGACAATCTGCATATTTTTTCCCAAGGATGAATTCTGCACTTTGGCACGTGCCAACTGCCAATGTTACTAACGTGTATGGATGCTTTCCCCTCACATGATGTTGTTCTACAGATTGCATAGAGGGAGATTTCCTTAGGTGGATTAAATATTCCTAAGCACTTCGAAATTTCTTTAATTTGGAACTCAGTTTTGATGTTTCATGCCTAAATTCTTAATTCCAACATGTATTAATCTTTAAAATTAAGCATGAAATGTAATGAAATTCACTTTGCACTTCCTGCTTAATTTCAAATCCATAAATTCCCAGCACGAAGCACTTACAGCATGCACCAGTGACTTCAGGGATGAAAAAAGAAAGGGGAAAAAAAAAAAAAGAACAAGTATGTAGCCAGGAACTCCCTGCTCTTTGTAAGGCAACCTATAATTCCATCTAATTAGAGCAGCTTTAATAGTATAATTATTCTAAAAGAAAAGGAACCCTACAACATACATACACATACATGTGGGCAGTCTCAAAAGGGGAACTGCAGGGACGGTCATGCTAGAAGCCACGAGCAAGTTAAATATTGTAAAGACACCTTTTCACTCGTGCCATTAACATTCTATTGAATTGCAGATGCTTATCACGAGACAAACTGCTGCAAACAGAAATTCCCGTGGGCCTCAGTGAATTTCATTTGAGATCCATCTCTACCTGGAAGTACAGCACTTTGCATTTCACTCCTACGTGCAGAAAAGGAACATGTTTTCCAAGTGGGCCATTAAGGAGGATGACATGCACTGTAGTAGCTTCCCCTCATGTTTCAACACATGCCACAGAAAACCTGCTAGCTCTTAAAAAAAAAAAAAAATCCCCTTCACTGAATCAGAGCTTTTTCAATGAGTCTTGATGGAATAACTTCAGGAGTTCGTATGTGGATTTTAGTTCTACATTATGGTAAACCAGCGATTGCACTTCCATTTTTTTCCCTAGATTTTAAGGTATTTAAGCATACTTAGAACATCACTCACCTTAATTTTTCAGCAAGATCTTGTTTTTTACAACAGGCGCATTTTTTAAAGGACACAAACTGGCAACAATGTAAGTGAATTACAAAAGAATAAAAAAAGTTTTTTCTATTCTGCAAAAATCAGAACTTCCTTAATTTCTCCTAACCTTTCAAGGAACTTAATTAAATTAGGTTTAATGCTGTTCCTATCTAGAAGATTTTCAGAGTCATGTGAAAGAGAGAACCTAAAGCTACAGTGGAATAACTGAGGCATATTTACTTCTCTCTAATGAAACTTTTCTTCCTTGGCTTTTGTGTCTGGGGACAGGACAGCACACAGTAATTAGAAAGGCTGGGTCATTTTGGGACTCTTCATCAGGAACTGTAGTGAGAGAACAAGGGGGAATGCCTTCAAACTGGCAGAGAGTAGGTTTAGATTAAATGTTAGGTAGAAATTATTTTTGTGAGGGTGGGCAGGCCCTGGCACAGGTGCCCAGAGCAGCTGTGGCTGCCCCTGGATCCCTGGCAGTGCCCAAGGCCAGGCTGGACAGGGCTCTATCCACAAGGATAAAGTGGATATCCTTGTCCAACCTGGACTTATCCTTGTCCAGGTTGGATAAGGATATCCACTTTATCCTGGGATAGTGGAAGGTGTCCCTGCCATGGCAGGAACTGGGTGATCTTCAAGGTCCCTTCCAACCCAAACTGTTCTAGGATTCTGCAGTTTTCTTTTCCCACCTTACCATAGATCCTTTCATGCTTTTATGACACCTCTGGACTGTCATTTGTGCCAAGCATCCTTTGAAAATCCTTCATCTGAACTAAAACCCAGTACAAAAGGCTGGAGCTCTAACAATGCATTTATGTTCTTTCAACACCAGATGGGAAAAGCTATTTTACACCAGCAGGAAAATTCCTGAACATCAATATTGGTCATGATGTCTTGTTTGCAGCAATTGTAATAGGTAATTACGAGAGATAGTTAGTATAGGTAATTTTGGAGTGGACTGTGATCCCATTAACACTACTGGCATAATTTCCTTCCAGTGACAGGTCAAGGCACAGCAGTGGCTTCTCTGCACCTCCCCACACAGCTCTAACACCTGGGTCAGTAATGAAAGGGTTCATGGTGAGAGAGCCACCAAAGTTTTACAAGCTTTTCAGGTTAAAAAAAACCCCAAAAAACAAACCACCAAACAAAACATGCCCACACTGTTTGAAATTGCATTGCTTTGATGTCCTGATGGAGACAGCTGAGCAAGAAATGTTTTCTCCATACATCTAATCCATCCTTCTGCTACTGAAAAAACCTTTCTGTTGGATGACTCAGCTCTGTCTGGATGAACTATTTGAATTACAGCTCAAATATTATATTAATGAAAGTCGTCATGGTTTTATGCCTTTTTCCATTGCTGCAAACCCTGCAAATATTAATGAAATTAACAACTTTGCCAAACTCAGACGGAAAACTTGTTTGAATGCCTCAAATGTAGCAAAAGCCAAAATCAAACACAAAATACTGAGCAACTGACCTGTGAGCCTCTGGGTCCTCGTTTGTGATCCCATTCAGAATGCCCCATGAGCTGCAAAACAAAGAAAAGCAGAGGTAAGTGATAAATTGCACTCATTAGTTTTAATTGAAACACTCATGCTTTTATATCCACTACACATTTTTCTTGGAAATAAACAGGTTTGCTTTTATGATTTATCTCACACAGCTTTTAGCTCCACAATGAAGCCATGGAACATTGTACCTTTGCATTCAGAACCCAAACACATCTGGCATCACAGCTCTGCTCATGCCAATAAAATTCAGCTTCAGCCAAACGTTTAATACTGATCTGGCAAAAGGAAAGCTGATACATCAGCAAGGAGATTACCAAAACCAGGGCACATTTGATTAATCAGCAATGTACATTTTATATCAGCCATGATAATTAGCAACAGCGTTAAAGCTGTTTCTTCATTGAATTATGGGGGTTTTTGTACATCTGCTCAGGGATTTCTTCTGTGCATTGTTTGCTCCTACACACAGAAGCATTGCTTAATTCAAATATAAAAATATGTGAATGAAAGATAGGAGGGTTAATGTGACATGTACTGACTTACAGCCATGAACATTTTCTTGCTCATTTTTCCCAACATTCTTTCCCAAAGGAAATGCCTTCTCCCAGTTCAGAGGTAGGCAAGGAGATTTACAACCCACACTTATTGCAGAACGTGCTTTCAAAACACTCATCCCAGGACAAGAGGTTAAAACTACTTTGCAAAATCAGGAAAGCCACATGCATCTCCTATGATGAGATTTTTTTTCATCTTCTCTATTAACTTATCCTGCTTATCCTTTTCTTTCCCAAGGGCTCCTTTTTAGGTTATTACTTACAACTATCTACCTCTGTGACTGGGGACAAACCACACGTGCAGATAGGAATTCAAAATCAGAAGTGTCACATCCTTTTTTTACCTGATACAGCCTTGTGACTGGTCCCCTCATTTTACTGCCATTTTTCCCTATTTTTCATGGTGGAAACACTGGTTCTGCTGGGTTTCCCTGTTTGTTCTCCATTACTGCATGAAGCACACCTTTGATGTTTTTTAAATAAATAACTGGTGTGCAAAAACTACCAAGAGATGTACCTACCAAAGGTTATGTGCTTCAAAGAAACTCTGCCAGAACCCTCCTTCTGTCTTTCCTCTGTGGACCAAAAAACCCTCTTGAGTTTTACTTCTTAGCCCCTGTGGGAGGAAGTAACTCCTGCATCTCTATTAACTTATCCTGCTTATCCTTTTCTTTCCCAAGGGCTCCTTTTTAGGTTATTACTTACAACTATCTACCTCTGTGACTGGGGACAAACCACACGTGCAGATAGGAATTCAAAATCAGAAGTGTCACATCCTTTTTTTACCTGATACAGCCTTGTGACTGGTCCCCTCATTTTACTGCCATTTTTCCCTATTTTCCATGGTGGAAACACTGGTTCTGCTGGGTTTCCCTGTTTGTTCTCCATTACTGCATGAAGCACACCTTTGATGTTTTTTAAATAAATAACTGGTGTGCAAAAACTACCAAGAGATGTACCTACCAAAGGTTATGTGCTTCAAAGAAACTCTGCCAGAACCCTCCTTCTGTCTTTCCTCCATGGACCAAAAAACTCTCCTGAGTTTTACTTCTTAGCCCCTGTGCCTTGGGAGGAAGTAACTCCTGCTTTCTTAATTCATTTGGCTAAAAGAAAATTAATTTAGCTTGAGTCTGACCACTGGTAGTTCCCAGGGTGATATCTTTACCTCCAGGTTCCTATCAGTGGAATTAGCACAAAAAGCAATCCTCACAGCGAAGAAAGAAGGATTAATGTTCCAGCCTGGCTGTGCCCACTGTGGTTCTCCAGGCTCCACAGACACACCACAGCTGCAAACCCAAGGGCAGCATCAGATCCCCCTGCCAGGTTTTTCATGCTCCTGCCCTCACTGAACCCATGGTGTAATAAATGAGCAATGAAATAGTCGGCTCTCACAATTAAAGAACAAATATTATGTATATACTAAGGGAAATTTTATAAATTTATAGTTATGTTCCCCCCACTTTCACATTGATCTCAGGAGATAGCTGGGGCATTTAAGAAAGTCAGCTCATTACTACAGCAACACCTGACCTCCAAACAAGATGTCAGAAAGTAATCTCCACCACTAGACAGCAAAGAGTCAATAGACAAAACTTTAAGAGAGGCCAAAGAGTTAAAAAGCAGAACATCCATTGTGTAGATGAGCACAGAGTAGAGAAAATCCTTTGCTCATGGCATTTGGTTTATTTTCTCTATTCGGTATTCTGTTGTAATTTTTAATAAAGTTTTAATAAACCTTTTTTAAAATTTTTGAAAGTAAATATCATTTCTCACAATAGCTCACTGAAAAGTGAAAGGTTTCTTTCTTACTGCCACCAAAAATGAGAGGTGCAGTCACAGCCAGGCCTGGAATTACTGTTCCCATATGTAGGGATGCTTCCAGTGCAGCCAGCCCCAGGAAAGCCAGGGTGGTTACCTGTGATCACCACTAAATCAAGTCCTCTTAAACATTCCTTCACCTCTAGGCACAGTTTGCCCATCCTGATCCCTATTCCTGCCTGGTATTTCCCATCTCCACAGGGAGTTTTCATCCCCACAGCCAACTCCTGCCCTGCTGCACCACTGCTCCTCCTGCCCAGCCTGCAGGAATCTTTTGTTTCCCCACCTCTAATCCTGCCCCTCCACATGTGTGGGCAATCCTGGGGGGCTCCAAAGGCTGTAACATCTCATCCTTGCTCCATTCCTCTCACAGAAGACAAAGCCATCATTGAAGAAGTCCCAAATTCATTGGAACCAACAGAGAGAGTCCTTCCTTATTCTGTCACCATTTTATGAGCAAACTCCTTATAGCAATTTACACAGCCCTCGTTCAATTTAATTGCTCTACAAGGATGCCTTGGTGGAATCAGCCACGTTTGCATTTTTGCTGACAGATCAGCTGTCCCCAGCATGAAACAATGCCCACACCACTGTTCTGTCCCTGTGCCTGGCTGTTCTCCTGAGTGACACGGGCTGTGGCTGTCCCCAGCTAAAACACTGAGGCTGTTCTCAAGCATTGTATCTAACCCACGGCCTATGAAACCAACCTTTTCCTACTGCTGTTATAAAATCTTACTTGCCTTTAAAATCTATTTCTCCCTCGTCATCTAAAATGCCGTGCTCATCTCATGCCAGAATGTTCTTGGCATGTGGTGGTCCCTACTAACACAGGAGTGAAGGAATGGGAAATGAAATTAGAAGGATACTGAACCAAAAGGCCTCAAGCTTGAAGACAGAAAGAATAAAGCCCCAGAGGTCATGACAAAATCTCTGCCAGGCCAGCATTCTGCACAGGGACAATTGCCTCAGTGTGACACCCTTCAGCTCAACAAGCCACACTCTGCTCAACAGCTTCTAAACCTGATTTTCTTTTCATGGACAAACAGTAAGTGCTGGAGCATGATACTCAGAAAAGGAGGAAAGAATGCCTGAACTATTCTGTGAGGTAGAAATCATGATTTCCACAAGCTGAATAGAAATGAAAAGTGAAAAAAACAGAATTAAAAGCAAAACAAAGCCCAAAAACAAACAAAAAACCTCCACAAAAATAAAAACCCCAAACCAAACAACAATCCAACTACACTCAGAGAAAACAGAGCGTGTGCATAAATCCACTTGAGTGAGTCAACCTTCTGAAATCATGGAAAAAGAAAATAATATACTGCTTAATTGGTGCATGCATGCAAACAGAGATACTGACATAAAAATGCATTTGGAAGTAAGGGGATTTATGTTTATCACTAACAGATGGGTTTGCTCCAGACCCCACCACCTCCTCTGAAAGTTCTCTGGAATCAATTTGGTCCAGAGTGATGATAAACAGCCTCAGAGCATCAAATTTATTATTCTCACTGACCAGGCAACTAAGGCTACGTGTATCAGCAGCAGAAAAGGAGGGATAGAACTGAAATCAAACTCCCACACAGCTTATATGCATGCAGTCTCTGTTGGAAGAAAAGGAGCTACTTTACATTTCATCTGAAACTATCCTGGAAACCCATCTCTGGCAGTTTTAATACTCACGGATGAAAGCAGCTTTTAGCAACAAGAACGAGCCTTGCATGTTCAGGAATGCACAAAACCATGGCCTTTGCTAAAACCAGCTGGTAGGTACTACCCTAAAAACTGACTGACAGCTCTCCAGGGAAAACAATCCCCCATTCCAGCTGAGGGTGAGCCCTGCCAGTGCAAGAAGAAGCAGAAAAGAATTGGGAAAAGACCCCAATACCAAAATCCCAGTCACAGACAGAAGAGGAGAAGCAAAAGGGCTCATCTCCTTTTGGAGGTCTAGGGTGGGGGACTGTGCTCTAAACTTCAGGTTTTTGCTCTAAACACAAGTTTCTCAGCTTGTGGTTTTAAAACTTATGTTTACTAATGTAGCAATACCTTCAGAGGAGTAGGGAATGGTATAAAGGACTGTCTACATTACATCAGATTTCTGAGATATCCATACTGAAGTAGAACAAAGCCATTTAAAAATTAGCATCTTCAGCCCTCGCCTCTCTAAATGCAGTTCTCCTCCTATATGGTTATTTAATTAAAGCCCCAGCAAATGATTACATAAGGATTTCAACTTTCATTAAAATTCATAAGCCATAATTCTTAGCCTCCTTAGTATTAGAGAACTGCAGGAAAATGTGACCCACACAGATTGCAGAAGATCTAAGTAAATCTAAAAAAGACAGAAAGTAAAGTATGACAATTTAAACCTTTTCAGCTGTTTGTAAGTCCTGTTTTCCCTTATACAATCTTTTCTGGACCAGGGTTTTAATTTTGGCACTCTTGAAACAGCAATACTGCTAACTATGCAATGGCTGGGGAAAAAAATGAGATTAAAAACCTCCAACAAAGCCAACCAGAAAGAACCAACCCCAAAAATGAGTCAGAGTAATAGAAAAGGCATAATCTCATTATAAGGACCTCCCCCACTGGGCACAAGTCAGGAAAAAAAACCCAGTATTTGAAATACAAGCAGTCCCATGTAT